GCCTTGAAAAAAGTCAGCAGATCCTAAAAAAGCAAAACATATAATTACCATATGACTCAGCAATTCCACTCCTAGGTATCTACCCAAGAGAACTGAAAATATAACATTCACACAAAAATCTGTACATGAATGTTCATAGTAGCATTATTCTTTTTTTTTTTTTGGAGGGGGGGGACAGAGTCTCACTCTGTTGCCCAGGCTAGAGTGCTGTGGCGTCAGCCTAGCTCACAGCAACCTCAAACTCCTGGGCTCAAGCGATCCTCCTGCCTTAGCCTCCTGAGTAGCTGGGACTACAGGCATGTGCCACCATGCCCAGCTAATTTTTTCTATATATTTTTAGTTGTCCAGATAATTTCTATTTTTTTAGTAGAGACGGGGTCTGGCTCTTGCTCAGGCTGGTCTCGAACTCCTGAGCTCAAACGATGCTCCCGCCTCAGCCTCCCAGAGTGCTAGGATTACAGGCGTGAGCCACAGCACCCGGCCAGCAGCATTATTCTTAATAGCAAAAAGTGGAAACAACCCAAATGTCCATCAACTGATGAATGAACCAAGTGTGGTATATCTACACAAGGAAGACTATTTAGGCACATAAAGTAATGAAGGTTCTGATCCATGCTACAACTGAATGAAGCTTTCAAACATGCTACACAAAGGAAGCCAGTCACAAATGACATAGGATTCCATTTATACGAAATGTCCAGAATAGGCAAATCCATAGAAACATAAAGTAAATTACTCATTGCTAGGGGTGGGGAGAAGGAAGAATAGGGAGTGACTGCTAATGGGTATGTGGTTCCTTTTTGGAGGTGATGAAAATGTTCTAGAATTAGACAGTGGTGATGACTGTACAACCTTGTGAATATACCAAAAACCACTGAATTGTATACTTTAAAGGGTGAATTTTATAGTATATGAATTATATCTCAATGAAAAATTGCATAGGGGTAGTAAAACACCAAATTCAGGAGAGTCTTTACGGGGGGAGGATGTCAGTCATGGAGGGACACAAAAAGGTCTTCAGCTATATTAACAATGTTTTATTTTGCAAGCTGGATGATAGGTATGTGGGTGTTTGTTATATTAATCTTTATACCTTTCTGTGTGTATTCATAATAAATACAATTTAAAAGTATTTCCTGAGTATTGACCTAGATCAGGCACTGGGCTACCTGGATAGAGTAATGATGAGTAAAAATGGATCCCATCCTGCCCAAAAGTAAGTGGATATGTACTAAGTGGAGAAGAAGGACTAGAAGTAAGTCATCACTCCTTCCTGGGCTTCTGTGTCCTCACGGAAGATACAAGAGCTGGACTAGAAGCTTGTTCATAGAAGGTCTCTGAGGATCCTGGGGGCCTAGAAGTATCTCCCTTTTTTCAGCCTACAGCACCTCTAAGAGTTCACCATGATGAGAGCTCTGGCCCGGAGTGCCTGGTGCCATCAATTATCATGAGTGCGCCTAAGGCAAAGCAACTTCAATGAGTCTTTTTCTTTTCAGTAAAATAAGGACAGTAACTTCTCCCTCCCAGGATTACTGTGGGGGTGTAAATGAGATAACATGTATAAAGTGTCAGGGACAGGCCTGGCACACAGTAAATCCTCAACACATGCCACAGTCCTCACTTTGATTCCACAGGCATTTCCTAAGCAGCACTGCTAGGCCAGACCCGTGCTAGGAGCTAGAAGACAGAGGAATTCCACTCTGAATGGTCAAAGCGGTGGCCCCCAGCCAGGTGGGGAGACAGCCTCATAAACAACAATACCAGGCAGGGTGATGTCACTGCTAAAAAGAGACAGCAGCCATGTGCACAGATGTAGACCACGTGCAGTGAAGCCCCTGGGACTGACAAAGATGTCCCAACCAAAAGGCACAGTCCAGACATGGAGAGAGGCCCTCACAGGGGTAAAGGCAAGGCACAAAGTTAAGAGATCAGCCTCCATTCACACTGCAGTGCAACCCTGCTTGTCTTTTTTCAGCTAATTCAGACTCAAATGTTCCTGCAACCCCTAAGAACAGAGACTATAATTGATTTAAAAGTTAGCTTTGGGAAGTCTGAGCCCATGGCATGTCCCAAGGTGCATGTGTGGGAACACAATGGCTAACACTGTGCTGCTCTGTGATCTTTGGCAAGTCACAAATTTCCACTTCCCCAGCTGTAAAATGGAGACCATATGGTACTGACCTTATAGGGTCGTGGTAAAAAGTGAGATAACGACAAGTCATTAGGCAAGTACCTGGCACTTAGTGACCAGATCAATAATGAGTAGTTATTATTAGGAAAAAGTAAATTCCATTTTGAAAGTGAGGAAAATGGGATTCAGACAGGTGAGATGACTTGCCTATCACACTGCAGGTTCAGAGTCAGGTATCTGAACTCAGATTTGAGCATCAAAGAAAGACTCAGGGCATTATCATCTCCTCTGCTCCAGAATCTTCAGCAGGTTCCCTGTAGTCCACTAAATGGAATTTATCCTTGCCACTGAGTGAAGATCCACAAAGGCCCGGGGCCAGAAAGATCTTGGGCAAGTTTCCTAATTCTGAGTTTCTTGATCTGAGATCCCTGAGTGGGTCTGAGAAGGTCTATGAATTCCTCCTCATGGTATATGCAAAATTTTGTGCCTAATGGAGATTCTCAAGAATCTATGGCCCCAAAAGTAACAAACCACTGACTTGACATCACCTACCATGTTGTCTTATTCACCCACTGGAGATACAGTACCTACCTTGAAAGGCTGTGAGGGGATTAAATGAGGCAACTTGTGAGAGGTACCTGAAACATCCTAAGCTTTCAATAAATGTTGGTTTCCTTCTTGTCCTCCCTTCCTCCCTATTTCCATCATTCAGAAAATATTACTGAGCATCTACTATATAGTGGGCACTGTTCTACATGCTGGGGGACAGTGATGAACAAGACAGACACTGTCTTTGCTTCATGAGGCTCATATTCTAGTGGAGGGGAAAACATACAAATAAAAGCAACAATTTCAGATACTAATAACTGCTATAAATAAAATATACAGGATAATGTGATACAGACTGATGGGGTGGGGTGGCGTTTAAAGAGGAAACATCTGAATGACAGGAAGGAGCGGTCATGCCAGGATTTTGGGGCAAAGCACCCAGGCAGAGTGAGCAGGAAGGACAAAGCCTCGCTGGAAAGACCCCTTGTCCAAGAGCTCTTTACTCCCAGTCACGCCACAGACTGGGTCACCTTGAACAAGTCACATAGCTTCTGAGGCTCAGCTGCCACACCTTTATTCCCAAAATTGGAATAAAGACACCTTACCTGCCACAGTGTCAGAGGATTCAACCAAAGGGCTGTTAAAGTCTGGGATCCTCCCCAAATCTCACCAACAGACACCTGATATTCGTCTTGGATGAAGGGAACCTGCACAGAGAACCCTGTGTCATGTTTTTTTTTTATTTTTAATTTCACGCTGCACTAGAAATAGCTTCTTCCTGGTTAACACAATGGCCTTTTCCTGCCACTTGGGGCCTATGATAGTAACAGCTGCTTCATATCCTCCTCAGGTACAAAAGCAAACTATGAAAAGGACATCAGGAAACACTGTTCTGGCAATAACCAGAACACCTAGCAGCCACCACCTCCCTACATACAAGATTGGAGGGCTCAGCCTGTCCTGTAGTCAGAGAATGTACATGCTTCATTTAAAGAGTTGGAAAGATCTTGGTCCCTGATTGGGCCACTGATTTATAATCAGTTGTAGTTCTCTCTCCTAAATCTCTTTAATCTGTCCTCTTCACTCCATCTCCACAGCCACTGCCCCTGCTCAGGCCTCATCATCTCATACCTTAACTCTCTCAGAGCTCTCTCTTTGGACCTAGTCTCTCCGTTCCCAAATCATTTGCCACATTATAACCAGTGGCTAACACACAAAACTGACGAGGTCTCTCCCCTGCTTAAAGCCCTTATATAGCTCCCATTGCCTATCGGACCTGGCATCCAAGCCTACCTCTCCAAGACTGAGCTCAGACATTCTGCTCCAACATTCAGGGCCTTCCTCATTATCTACTACACCAAACTCTTCATTGTCTCTAAAACAAGCCAAGCAGCTCTCAGAATTATATGTCTTTACTGCTTTGGTTCCTGCTACTTGGAACACTGTTCCCATCCCAGCATCTCACCTCAACCCCTACCTCGTTCACTGCCTATGCATTCCTATGTATCCTTCAACGCCCCCAAAGCCTCTCCTGATTCCTCCAGGAAAACACTGTTTGCTCCCTGCCTTTTTAATCAGATTGCAAGCCAGGGTCTTACTCACGGTTAATTCCCTAGGACCTAAACTGGTAGGTTCCATTTAACTAAAATTCATATCAGGTGCTTCAGATTGTGAACAATCCTATCACATCCCAGAAAGAAACAGTTAAGGCACTGGGGGCTGCCAAGTGGTGAGGTGAGAGTAGGGATCATGAATATGCATATTTTAAAAACTCCCCCAGATCCTGAAGTAAGTGGTATTGGAGATTTTGAGAAACACTGGGTCACCCCCAAAATTCCTGGAAAAATAAAAATGTTTTCCCTTCCTAAGGCTTCCCCTGCTGCTGTTCCAGGTAAGAAAAAATCAGGCAGGTATTTCTGGGACCTGGTTGGGCTGGGAAACAAACCTAAGTTCCAATACTGGATCCGCCGCTAACGTGCTATGGGGTCCTAACCCTCGCTGGGGCTTCTATTACTATGCGCACCCCGACCCCCATCAACTGTGTGTCTCAGAGGTAGTGACTGTCCCATTCTGAGCATCGGTTTCACCATCTTTTTCATTGGACGTCGCCAGCTCCGACGCTCTACAAGTTAGGCATACTCGTAGCTCCCCACCGCTCCCCTCCTTCCCAAGGTCCGGTCCGCTTGGGTGCAGCCCACGAACCCCCATGCCGAGGCCGCCCTTACACGGACTGCCCCTTCCCGGCCACCATCCAGCTTCAAAGGCACGGATCTCCTCCCCCGCCCCGCTCTTTAAGTATTGCGGGGGGCGGTTCGCGCAGGCGCACTGAGTCGCGTCAAGGCCCCGCCCCCTGAGCGGGGCTAACGGCGCGAGGGGCCTGAGTGTGGTGCGCGGCTGGACGACGGACGAGTAGGTTGGGGCGCGGCAACGGCGGCCGGCGTGGGTCACGATTCCTCGGGAGGAAAGACGTGAGGGAGGGGTCTGGCGAGCGATTGGAACCCAAGAGGCTGGGAGATCTTGTGGCTCAAACGTGTCCCACGCACCGGGAAACTAGTGTCCAGTGAGGGGGTTGGGCTGGCGCGTGTCGATACCAGATTTTCCAGATCTCTTACCTCTAGATCCGGCCGGCACTGGGGATACCGTGCCAGTGAGGGTAGAACCAGAGTTAAAGCAACAACATCTGGGAGCGTTTAGGACCAAACTTTGTCCAGGGTGGGAGCGAGCGGGCCGGTGAAGTGGGGCAGGCCTGGGCTTGCGACCGTGTCATTACCTCGGGCTGCATGCAGGCACTGGCCTCGCCCTGAAGATAAAGTCCGACCGGGTTTCCTGTGGGCGTTTTAAGGCTTTTCTCTGTGATTCATTCATCATCGTTCATCCATTTAACATTCATTGAATACTGTACTAGGCGCCAGTAATAGGTAGAGAAGTGATCAAGACGAACACGATTCCTAGGATACAGGCAGGGATAAGTAATAGGCTGTAGAAGCCCTGGGCGGAGAGGAACAGGGACAGCTTCCAAAACTAAAAAGTGAACGCTGGTCAGGAGTGGTGGGGAGTGTTCCAAAGAGAAAACAGCACGTGCCAAGGCCTGGAAGGGGAAGAGGCTGGTGTGTCCTGGTCACTGAAGATACTTCTCTCTGAAGGGAAAACATTTTTATTTTTCCAGGAATTAGTGCCCAAGAAAGAGATGATGGTGACCCGGGCTAGGCAGCTAACAGTGGAGATGGAGAAAAATCAAGTAATTCAAAGTACTGTATTTAGGCAGCAGAATCCACAGGATTTGGGGGGAATGGGATGTAGGAAAGAAATACTACATACAAGGCTTGGGTACCTAGCTGGGGTTCATCAGAGGAGAAGCCGATTTGTGGGGAAGCAACAACAAATTCTACTCTGGTTGTGTGGAGACTCCCAGGAAGCAGTTGGATATTCTAGTTTGAGGGTAGGAAAGTACTGCTGTGAATAGTATCATCAGCAAAACAGAAATAAACCCACAAAAAGGGTTCAGACTATAGAATAAGAAAAGCGAAGGGCTTAGTTAGCATTTTTCATAGTGATTATTTTTATGTCTTATCCTTCTCCCTATCCCCAGTACGTAGCCAAGGACCTGGCATTAGATGCAAATCAATGTTTACCAACTAAACAAAAGCCCAACAGCAGACAGAGATGTTGCAGTTTCAGAGTTGTGAAGAGATGGGGGCTAATGGAGGGTTTCATTGCTCTATTATCCAAGTAATGGGTTCTTGTCCAGGCTGTGCCACCAGGCTGCTGTGTGACCTCTGACAAGTCTTCTCCACCTGTAAAGTGAGTATAGCCAAAAAAAGGTCACATGTATAGAGCTCCGAACACTGCTGAGAAATTTCACACAGATTTTTCTCATTTAATGTCCACATGGCAACCTTACTTAAAAGGGAAGTAGTATTATTATGGACTCAAACCCAGGTCTGTCTAACTCCAGAACTAAGACTACACTCATCTATCTCTCACTCAACAGGGATATTGTCAGGACCCTCTTGAGATCACGTGCTCATTCTTTCAAAACATTGTGCTGAGGCTGGCAGACTTTCATAATTGTTCTAGCACCAGCTCTGTCATGCCAAGAGGGGGACTGAGCTGAATGTGATGGAGGTTACCTATCATTGTCTAACTCTCTTCTGGGGACCACTGAGTTGGGCAGCCATGTTCTTAAAATTAAATGACAATAGGGCAGAACAAAATTAATGATTGGTGTTTCCAGATTTTTATCCAGGTCATAAACCCCTGAGGCCTGCAGCAAAATGAATGAACATCAAGGTGTGAGTTGGTACACATCTATGTGTCGCTGGGCAACCAGTCAGACTCTTCCTGCTGTTACACTGGACACTTGGGTGTCAGTTATTTCCATCCTGCTAATGTGATTTCTCAAAAATATTGTCTGTCTTTTGATGCTGTGATGATAGCTGTCTATACATAGAGGGTAATCATTTCGTGCTTCTGGCTAGTGTGATACTCATCTGCATTTCATGGTATTTCCCCCCACTTCCCATGTAATTTATTTGAGATTTGCTGACATGAATTGTTAGAGCTAAACGGGAAATTAATAATCTACTGTAGTGGTTCTTATTCCTGGAAAGCTTGTTAAAAATACAGAGCCTCAACCCCTCCTACCTCCCTTCAGACTTCTTGAATCAGAATCTCTGTGGTGGGGCCAAGGAATCTGCATTCTTTCCTGTGCTCCCCAGAATGTTCAGCCAGGTTTGGAAATCACTGATCTACCCCATCCCCCTTGTTTTACAGATAGGGAATCTGTAGCTGTGGAAGGGGAAAGAACTTACCCCAATCACATCTGACGTTAGTGCCCGTTTCTCTAATGAAGAGTATTGGGCTAGGAGCCCAGAGACATGAGTTCAAGTCGAGGCTTTATCAGTCATTACCTAGGGCAAGTCATTTCACCTCTTTGAGCCTATGCTTCCATACTGTGAGAATAATGCCATTGTATTGGGAATCAAAAGAGAGAGTGGCAATGGAAATGCTTTGTCAAGCTTTCTGTTTTGTGCACATGGAAGTTGTTAAAAGCTGGAACCAGCCAGTGTTCACTCTCCTATACCACACTGTCCTTTCCAACAGAGGTCAGAGTCCTGCTGTGTTAGAATGGTCACCAGCCAGTTTCAGTAGCTGTGGGGCCCCAGACCATCTGTCACCAAGCTCTCCTCTCTCCATCTATTACAGGTGTTGGGATGGCCACCAGCTGGGAGAGCTTCTTGCAGGATGAACAGCAGCTGGAGGAGCTGGCACGGCAGGCTGTGGACCGGGCCCTGGCTGAGGGAGTGTTGCTGAGGACCTCACAGGAGCCCGGCTCCTCAGATGTAAGCCCCCTGCCCCTCCCCACAGCATTGACCATACTGCTCTGGATCCCACTGCCTACTGTCTGGCCCCTGCCAGGCTGGGGGCAGCTCCTTTACACCAGAGACCACATCTCCTTTGCATTGTTTTTCTCAATAACTAAAATTGATCTCTAGAAGTATAAAGTTAAAAGCGGCATGCTAACATAATCAAATTTAAATGTGGGATTTGAAGTGTGACTTAAGCAAGTTACTTAACCCTTCTCAGCAGTTTCTTCAAATATAAAAAAGGGATAATAATAGGACCTACCTCATTTGGTTGGTAAGGGAATTAGAAGATAATTCACCTAAAGCACTTTGCCCCATCAGCTATTATTTAAGACCCCCTAATCACACTATCTTCTCTATAACTGGTTCGTGATATATCCTTTCAGGTCTTTTTCTGTGCGTTTATATACATAGACATGTGCATATAGAAATACGTAGTTTTTTTAAAAAAAATTGGATTGTACATATTATTCTATGATGTGTTTTTGTTTTCCATTTAACTGTCTTAGAACTCTTTCTAATGCCTTCCATTAAGATCAGCTTCATTCTGATGGATAGTATTCCAGGTGTGGATATATCACAGTTTATCTTTCCTCTACTGATGGCTATTTAGTTGATTTCTAATGTTTTTATGACTACAAATAGAACTACAGAAAACATCCACAACGCCTGTAATCCTAGCACTCTGGGAGGCCGAGGCGGGCGGATTGTTTGAGCTCAGGAGTTCGAAACCAGCCTGAGCAAGAGCGAGACCCCATCTCTACTAAAAAAAAAATAGAAAGAAATTAATCGGACAACTAAAAATATATAGAAAAAATTAAGCAGGGCATGGTGGCGCATGCCTGTAGTCCCAGCTACTCGGGAGGCTGAGGCAGAAGGATTGCTTGAGCCCAGGAGTTTGAGGTTGCTGTGAGCTAGGCTGACGCCACGGCACTCACTCTAGCCAGGGCAACAGAGTGAGACTCTGACTCAAAAAAAAAGAAAACATCCACATATATGCCTATTTGGGCACCTCTGTGAGTGTTTCTCTAGGCTTTATACATAAAAGTAGAACTGCTGAGTCCAAACCACATCTTTTTAAAACCTCATCCTTTAAAAAAAAAAACAAAACTTTATTTTGTGACTAGGTAAGACATGTTCATAGTTCAAATTCAAAGTTTACAGTTCAACCCTCCCTTCCTCATTCCCTTGCTACCCAGTTCTACTGCCATGAAGGCAACCTGTGTATAGTGTTCTTGTTTATCCTTTCAGGTAGTTTATTCATATTAATAATAAGTAAATAGTAACAAGTAAATGTATTCCTTTTTCTCACTTTTTTACATAAAGAAACATACTAGACAAACACTTCTATACCTTGTGCTTTATTCTTTTTCTTTTCTTTTAACTTAACAGTATACCTTAAGACTATTCATATTGGTGACTAAAGAGCTGCCAACATCTTTTTTACCCTACCGCATTCTTTTTTTGTCTCTGTGTGCCCAGAGCCTAGTACAAGCCTGGTGGATAGTCCAGACTCAATAAATGTTTGCTGAGGCCCAGGTAAATGAGAATGGCTATCATCTAAGGCAGGCTAATGCTGTGGAAGGTCTGCCTCTGGCTTGAGGAATAGAATTGCTTAGGTTATGATCCTATATTTTGTGAACTGCTTGTATGAATCTGGAATAAAGCATATTCCCTTCCACATTTTTATTTCTTCTGCTAATCAGTAGGTGTTGTGTGAAGGTCCAATACTCAGTCTTTCTAGGAGTTAATGGAGCCCAGAAAAGGCACAATCCTCAATGAGATTTCGGATCCAGAAAAAAAGACAGGACGTGTACATGCGTGTGTGTGTGTGTGTGTGTGTGATTTCATTCCCAGTCTTTACCAGGTACCTCCTCTATGCTGGAGCATTCTAGGCAGTGAGGACAAAGAGGTGAGTCAGCCAGAGGCCCTGTCCTCTGGAGCTCATGGGTCTAGATGGAGAATGTACCAAAGGACAAAATAATGTCAGTTCTATGAGGAAACATAGGCAAATCTGCTGCACAATATTAGCTGTCATTTACTGAGTATTTACTATGTGCTGGGCATCATTCTAAAAACTTTGGAATCGCAGACTCATTTAATCCTCACCATAATGGGGACAAGGAAACCAAGACCCAGAGAGGCTAAGTAACTTGCCTGAGGTCATTTAAATGGTGGAATAATTGGCAGAGCCAGAATTTAAACCAAATGAGTTTGGCTCCAGAGTCCATGCTCTGAACATCCATGCTTTATTGCCTCTCCCAAGATACTGTATAGGACACCTGGGAGAAGGAATAATTCATTATGATTAGAGGATTGAGATGAGGGGTGGTATTTGAACTAGACCTCAAAATACAAATGCGGGGAAAGAACATCATAGTAGGGGCACAAAAGTAGGTAAAGGCAAAAAATGTTGAAGGGAATGCAGCTGAAATGCAGGGCACATAAGTGGCTATAGCGGGAAAGAAGGGAGGCCAAAGCAGATAGCCAAGAGGCGTTTTAGATACGAGCGGAGGAAGAGTGTGAACTTTATACTGCAGATTCAGGCTGCAAGCCAGCCATATACAGGCTGAATATTTGGCTCCTACAATGTTTAGGGAGTTAACTTATTTTTAAAAATAGTTAATACATTCAAACGCATTTGAATTCAAATACATTTGAATAGGGTACAAAATTCAAAGAGGTATTTCAAATAAGGTAAGTCTTCCTCCAGCCACTGTTTCCCTCCCCAGAGGCAAGCATTGTTAACAGTTTTTTAATCAGAATATTTTTTAAAAGTCAGAACCAACATTTAAAAAAATCATGAAATTATGGCCGGGCGCCGTGGCTCACGCCTGTAATCCTAGCTCTCTGGGAGGCCGAGGCGGGCGGATTGTTTGAGCTCAGGAGTTCAAAACCAGCCTGAGCAAGAGCGAGACCCTGTCTCTACTAAAAATAGAAAGAAATTAATTGGACAACTAAAAATATATAGAAAAAACTAGCCGAGCATGGTGGCACATGCCTGTAGTCCCAGCTACTCGGGAGGCTGAGGCAAGAGGATCGCTTGAGCTCAGGAGTTTGAGGTTGCTCTGAGCTAGGCTGATGCCACGGCACTCTAGCCCAGGCACCACAGTGAGACTCTGTCTCAAAAAAAAAAAAAAAAAAAATCTAGTAACCCAGCTTATTTTGAAAAATTAGATCCTCTGGCAATTCTGGCCCACTTTGCTGCATGGCAACAATTGGCTAGAGCAGAGTCCTGGCTGCCCTCTTTAGATAAGAGGCAAGTTGTTCTGTTTGCCACAATTCCTATCAGTCCCTGTTGTTTCCCTGACTACAAAGCAGAATTTTAGTATCATACATATGCTATAGTTTTTTAAAATAGTAGAATAATGTTATTCTATGTTCATGACTCTATCAAAAGTGTTTCACTCTTTAGCCTGTGGACAGCAGAAGATAGCTATGTACTACTGATCCTAAATTCAGGAGGGCATAATGAGTCCTGAAGACAGAGGCAGAGGGAAATCTTATTAGAAAAACTCTTCTGAGAATCTTTCAGGCCAGATGGGACTTGTTGGGGGAGGCAGAGTTCTGAGTTTAAAAGCCAAGGAAACGCCCCTGTAGTCATCACATATGTACTTAGGGTATTAGGTCACCCCTTATATAATCTGTAATAATTCCTATTCTAACTCATAAAGGCTTCAGGCTGAATTAACCTTATTCTCACAAATAGCTTTCCTCAGTTTTATCTTAAAATACATACTAAGGTTGGGTTTGGTGACATGCCTCTAGTCCCAACTACTCAGGAGGCTGAGGCAGGAGGATCACTTGAACCCAGGAAGTCAAGACTATAATGCACAATGATCACACCTGTGAATAACCGCTGTACTTCTAGCCTGAGCAGCATCGTAGTGAGACCTCATCTCTTTAAAAAAAAAAAAAACAGATGCTGAGGACAGTAATTTGGGAGTTATCTACCAAAATTTAAAATGGGTTTACCCTAATTACCTGACATTTTCACTTTTTAAAATTTTTTAATATTTTTTAGAGATGAGGTCTCATTCTGTTGCCCAGGCTGGAATGCAGTAGTGCAGTCATAGCTCACTATAGTCTTGAACTGCTGGACTCAAGTGATCCTCCCAGCTCAGCCTCCCAAGTAGCTGGGACTACAGGCACACATCACCATGCTCAGCTAATTTTCTAAAAATTTTTTTAGAAACAGAATCTCACTATGTTGCCCAGGCTGATCTTGAACTCATGGACTCAAGGGATCCTCCTGCCTCAGCCTTCCAAAGTGCTAGGTATGAGCCATCATGCCTGGCTTCATTTTTACTTTCAGAAATTTAGAATTTATAGACTTTCTCATATACAAAATACCTGTAATAGAATGTATGTTCTGGGATACCCATTGAAGCATTTATGGTAATGGGGGGTGGGAATTAAATATTTATCAATAAAAGGCTAGATTCAATAAATTATGGTATAGCCAAAAAGTGAAATACTATACAGCCATTAAAAACAATGAGAGTAGCCAGGGGCAGTGGCTCATGCCTGTAATCCTAGCACTCTGGCAGGCCAAGATGGAAGGATCACTTGAAGTCTGGAGTTCAAGACCAGCCTGAGCAAGAGCTAGACCCTGTCTCTACTAAAAATACAAAAATTAGCCAGGCGTGGTGACACACACCTATAGTCCCAGCTACTGGGAAGACTGAGGCAGGAGGATTGCTTGAGCCCAGGGTTTGAGGTTGTAGTGAGCTATGATGATGCCACTGTACTACTCTAGCCTGAGTGACAGAGCGAGACTCTGTCTCAAAAAAAAAAAAAAGAATGAGAGTGTTCCATTTGAACATATAAGAAAATATTTCAAAAGTTAGGGACAGAATATTGTACAATATGCTGTGTGTGTAAAAAAAAGAGAAACTATGTATGTATACATATATATCAGTATAAAGATGTCTGGAAGGATGCGTGAGACACTAGTCTACCATTTGCCTCTGGGGAGGAGAACTGGATGACTGGAGCAAGAATGGGAGTGAAACATACTTCTCACTATGTATTCTGTGTCTCTTTTGAATTTTGTTTCATGTGTGTTATCTATTCAAAATAATAATATTTTTTAAATAAACATATAAATGCCAAGTTCTAACACCATAAACTCATACTACCATAATGGCAAACTGATATTAACTCAAAGGTTAAATTTAGGAATGCTTCATAATATATGTCACAAGGTCATCTTATCATCTCTTACCCAAGTTCTAATTCACTTTTTCTTGAGAATCTCAGAATGTATTTCCCCTTTCTAAAAACAGTGTCCTAGATGGTATTTGGGTTTCTTGGCTATGTGTTAAAGTCCAAAGAATCCACAATGCAGCTGAACTCTAGGCCTGTTAACTTGAGTCACCATCTCTAACATTGGGGGGAAAATCGCTCCTGGCTTTTACTCAGGAGGCCATAGTTCACTTCTGCTGTGGCCCTACCAGCAGGACTCTCTTTCTACCCAATCAAAAGGCAGAAGGACTGGGGTGTGAGCTCCTGACACATGGAGGGACTTGAGCTTGAACATTAACCATCTAGGAGCTGGTGTATGTGTGTGTGGGTGTATTATTTAGTAACCATTCTGGTTCAAATCCCAGCATCACTTACCAGCTGAATATAATTTTGAACCTATCTTAGGTCCCTTATCTGTTAAGTATGGATAATAATGTTAATACTGTCTTCCTCACAGGATTAAATGATGAATCCATGTAAAGTATTTAAAATAGTGCCCTGTACATAGTATGTGTTCAATAATGTTTTGTGGCTTCTTTTTTTTTAGAGACAGGGCCTTGCTCTGTCACCCAGGCTAGCATGCAGTGGCATGATCATAGCTCAATGCAACCTCAAACTACTGGGCTCAAGGGATCTTCCCCCCTCAGCCTCCCAAGTAGCTAGGATGACAGGTGCACACCACCATACCCAGCCAATTTTTTTCTTTTTTCTTTTTTTAAGAGACAGCGTCTTGCTATGTTGCCCAGGCTGGTCTTAAACTCCTGGCCTTAATTGATCCTCCTACCTTGGCCTCCCAAAATGCTGGGATTACAAGCCTGAGCCACCATGCCCAGTGGCTTCTCATTTTTTTAATTGTAAAGATAAAATATAGAATCTGGAAGCTCTTTTTGTACACTTTCTTCCCCTCCCACCCCTCCCAAGGTAACCACTAATCTGTAGTTGGTGTATCCTCAATAAATTTAGGCCAGACTTTCATGGGGTTATGTTTGCAGAAAGACAATCCATTCACAGGTGTTCTATCCCTACCCCGTTCTCTCTCCTTGATCAGGTGGTGAGCTATGCCCCATTCACACTCTTCCCCTCAGTGGTCCCCAGTGCTCTGCTAGAGCAAGCCTATGCTGTGCAGATGGACTTCAACCTGCTAGTGGATGCTGTCAGCCAGAATGCTGCCTTCCTGGAGCAAACTCTCTCCAGGTACCAGGCCGTAAAGCATGGGAAGCCAGGAGCTGCTAGAACCAAGGGATGGGAAGATTGGGGAGCCACGAGGTGTTGCTATGTCAGCTAACTTGGTGGGGTGTAGGACAGAAGAAAGAAAAAGTAGTAGGAGTCAGGAAAGCTGGCTTCTAATCCTGGCTCTACCACTCACGTATTTACATGGCCTCAAGCAAGTCCCTTTCCTTCTCTGGGCCTCAGTTTCTTCACCTGAAAAATGGAGAGGTTGGCTTAAATCTAAGGTCCCTTTCATTGCTAACATTCTGTGAGATGTGACCTCTTGCTTTGAAGATTGATATTTCCATTTGTAATTAGGAAAGTCAGCCTAGTTTTAGAGGAAAACAGAGGATAGGGAAGATTATTTGGTTTAAATTCAGATGTCCATTTCTCCTAAGCAATGACCTTTTCTTGTCACCTCAGGCCTCCCATCTTTGGGTGGGATAGGGTGCAGACTGGACCACACCAATTCTTTATTTTATAATTAAATATATATAAATGTTGAGCATCCCTAATCTGAAAATACAAACTCTGAAATATTTTGAGCACCAACATGCCATCACAAGTGGAAAATTCCACACCTGACATCATGTGACAGACAGATCATAGTGAAAATAGTCAAAGCTTTTGTTTCATGCACAAAATTATTGAAAATTTTGTGTAAAATTATCTTCAGACTATGTATATAAGGTGTGTATGGAACATAAATGAATTTTGTGTTTAGACTTCGGTCCCATTTCCAAGATACATTATGTATATGCAAATATTACAAAATCCAAAACACTTCTGGTCCCAAACATTTCAGATAACGGATACTCACCCTGTAATTGTGTGTCTTTGATTAATTTTTCAAGAGAAAGCTAGATTATTTTGTTAGAGACAAAATCTTTTTAAAAGTGCAACTTGGTGTGAGGGTGAATATGAGAAGGGATCATAATAGTAAGAAGTTTGGAAATTATTGACTTGCAGCTAAAAACCTGATGAGTCATGAATGTGTGAATCCAACTACCACCTTCCCCTGAGATCTTTCTCAAAATGAGCCCAGCTTTGTACCTGCAAATCTCGATTGTGAGAAATATGAGTGGCCTGGCTTATGACCTTTACCCTAATGATGCAATAACGTGAGAGATCTTCTCTGCAGCCCATCTCTGCAACCCCTGCTTTCCCTGTTCCTCTCTCCTCTCTCTCTCTCTCACACACACACACAAACCCTAGCTGTTAAGGGAGAAAAGCCCCAGAGCACATGAAGGGGAGCACCTCTTCAGAAAAAGGAAAATGTTTTCCAACTTCCCTGAAGGCTGAAACTCAGCTGGGGACTCCTCCTCACCAAAGGCTGGCATGAGAGAGCTCACCCTTGGGAGAGAGCTGGCTGGGGAGCAGAAGAACTTCAGGGCAGACCTGAGCTACTTGGCTCCCCCCACTGGTCTGCTGCGGGGTCCCTGTAACAAGGTGAACATGAAAGCCAGGCTTGAGCAGGTGTGCAGAATGGGCCCTGAATCTTTTTCTTTTTCTTTTTTTTTGGTTTTTTTTTTTTAAGCCACAATCTTCTCGCAGCATTTTCATGGGCCCTGCATTTTAAGAGGCAACAGTATGGTATTAATTACCTGTGGATTCCTTCTCTCTGTGCCTCTTCCTGAGTTTCCAGAAGACCATAATGGATGAGTCCCTACCACATGTCACATGTCACAGCAGCACACTAGGCTATGATGATGAACCAGCTACAGACACGGCCCCACCCTCATGTGGTTTATAGTCAAATGGAAGAGATGACACTAATCATCACACAAATAAAATGGAAAATTGCAATGACAATCAGTGCTATAAAGGAGAGTTCCACAGCTCTATGAGAGCATATAGCAGGGGTATCTGACCCAGATAGGGAAGGCTTCCCTGAGGAAATCACATCATATGAGGACTAGTTGAAGGAAAAAAAAAAGTTTATTTAGCTTGGGTTAGAAAAATCTAATGGGTGCACAAGTCATAACTGCTGTTTTCTAATCTCTCAAGCTATTTTTTTTTTTTTTTTTTTTTTTTGGAGATAGAGTCTTTCTCTGTCACCCCAGCTAGAGTGCAGTGGCATCATCATAGCTCACTGCAACGTCAAACTCCTGGGCTCAACCAATCCTCCTACCTCACCCTCCTCAGTAGCTGGGACTATAGGTGTGTGCCACGACGCCTGGCTCTTTTTTTCTGTTTTTAGTAGAGACAGGGTCTAGCTCTTGCTCAGGCTGGTCCTGAGCTCCTGACCTCAAGCAATCCACCCACCTTGGCCTCCCAGAGTGCTATGATTACAGGTGTGAGCCACTATACCCAGCCTGCTGTCTTCTAATCTCTGAGGGCTCTTTCATAGAGGAGGAGGAAGAGACTTGTCCAGGGAGGTCCCAGAGTGTGAGAGAAGCTATGGAGAGTTAGTGTTAGGTCAACCAGAAAGCTTACCAACCATCAGAACTATTCAAGTATAGAAAAGTTACAGCACATGTCATTTTTTAGGTCTTCTTGGGACCAGACACTATATTCAATGCTTTGAATGTAATACCTCATTTACTCTTGCCCACAACTCTATGATATAATTATTTTCCTCTTCATTTTACAGATGAGCAAACTGAGACAAAGAAGGGTGAAACGATTCCCTAAGGTTGCCTTGTAGTAAGTGGTAGAGCTGGGATTTGAACCAGGGTCATCTGGCTCTAGAGCTGGATTATTAATCACTATTCTCTACCAGATTGGGGTGGATGTTCAAATTTTGTCTAGTAGATCCAGAGAGGATTCACAAGTCAGTGAATGGGGGTGGGACTCCTTGACTTTAAGGTCCCATGAAGCCTGGAAAATGTTCTTTGTTTTCTCCTCTAGCACCATCAAAAGGGATGACTTTACTGCTCGTCTCTTTGATATCCACAAGCAAGTCCTGCAAGAGGGCATTGCCCAGGTAACCATTCCCAGCCCCACCCCAGTCTGAAACCTGCCCCTCCCATCTCTTTTGTGTGTGTTTGTCATTTTTTTTTTTTTTCACCAGAAGAATTTGGCCCAGGCCCTGAGCTTATGGGAATTTGCCTCTCACTGGTCCCCAGTGGATATGTACAACCCAGTGACCAATCCTAGGATGACCAGAAGAATGATCCCACTGGGTTTGGGAGTGGTAGCTGGTGCTTCTAATCTCTACATAGAGTTCATGGTACCTGTCTGCTCTGTGGCTAGGCCCTCAGAGTCAGCCCTTGGGCAGATGTCCTCAGCCTTCAGTTTTCCCCACAGACTGTGTTCCTGGGCCTGAACCGCTCAGACTACATGTTCCAGCGCAGCGCAGATGGCTCCCCAGCCCTGAAACAGATTGAAATCAACACCATCTCTGCCAGCTTTGGGGGCCTGGCCTCCCGGACCCCAGCTGTGCATCGGTGGGTCCCTTGGGCAGCCCCAGGCATACCTGAGGGGTGTCAGCCTGATGGGTCTACAATCACTAGCTGGGCCAGGGATCTCCAACTATGACTATGCCTTTCTGGGCTCTGGGTCATATGTTTCCCCCCACAGTAAGTTTGCACTTACAATCAGATCCTTGATATCTCAGAGAAAGGGGACCTCATAACTCATCTAGTCCTGACCCTTCATTGTTCAAGTTTGTGTTCCAAGCAGAGGGAACAGTATCTCTAAGAGCCCTGGGTTGAGAAAGAACTTGACATGTTTGAGGGCCTGAAAGGAGGTCAGAATCCAAGGCAGAGAGAGGAATGCAAGGGCTTCCATCTGAGGGCTGGGCTCTAGTAGCATCCATTTCTAGACAGCAGTGATGCTCCAGTTGCAATGATTCCAGATGGTCTGCAGCAGGATTCCAGAAAGCACCTGGGGGCCGAAGGTAGGGGCTCCAGCTCAGTGGGAGGCTAGGATGGGCTGGGGTGGGAATACAGGGTCTCAGGGCTCCTCTGGGCATGTACACCAGAGGACAGGGTTAGGGCAACCCAGCATATTCCAGCCTGAAGTGGATCCTCCAGGAGTGTGATGGTAAGATGGTTTTTGGCGCTCAGCTGATCCTCAGAGTAATGTTCCCATAAGTATCTGTGAGGTCATGGGCAGAGGGGGGTCTTCTAGGTCCATCCAATTATTGAACAGCTGTCTCTCTTCCAACAGACATGTTCTCAACGTACTGAGGAAGACCAAAGAAGCTGCCAAGATCCTCTCCAATAATCCCAGCAAGGGACTGGCCATGGGAATTGCCAAAGCCTGGGAGCTCTACGGCTCAGCCAAGTAAGGGTGTGAAAAAGTAGCAATAGTATCCTGCTTTAGATTCAGCATTCATGGGTGCAGCAACTTCTTCTTTGCCTGACATGATTAGGGAATAAGGGGATTTTTCTAGGAATAGAAACTTATACCTTTAAGTGCCAAAATTATTCTAATAGGGTTTTGGGTTTCCTTCTTAAATAAAAGATGCTGACTATAACCTTTCCTTGTTGACTGCAGGTCATTATTATGACTGTCAGCAATTGCATCTTACTGTAATGCAACAGTGCTACCTGGGTTACAGAGGCTGTTTGCCTACACTAACGGCTCTGACTGCTGGGCTTTAAGTTCTTATTCATTTTCTTCATAACTTTCCTGTCTGCTTCCCAGTTATCAGCTCTTACTTTTTACTGTTGTCAGTGTGCTTGAATTTGGAATCCTCCACTCCCATCCCTATACCTCCTTCTGATTTGCTGTGATTTGGAAAAGCAAATGATGCAGGTTTTTATGATCGTGTTTAAAGAGTGTGAGCGCCTCTTTCATGAGTAAGTGCATACATAAGCTTTGACTTAGGAATTTTAAGGTGTCCATTTTAACTGCTTAGAGGCATTTTTTGCTTCCTTCCTATTTCTTAACCATGTTCCAGATATGTAAAGATATTAGGTAAGTGACTTCTAGATAATCAAGGGGCCACTGTTAGTATTACTGTTAGTATTAACAGTTATTGAAATGTTGTTAGAGCATTAATAGCCCTTAATAAGCACTTAATAGTGCCACAGCTTGGGCTAAGCTCTTTACAAACAGGATCTCATTGAATCCTCGTAATAAACTCTCTGAGATAGGTACTATTCACGTCCCTCATTTTACAGATGAGGAAACTGGGGTTCTGAGAAGACAAGTTAAAGTTCTAAGAAGTTCTGAGGTTCTGAGAAGAGAAGTCAAAGGTCAAGCAGTGAGTTGGTGACAGAGCCCAGAGTCCATGTCCCTCCAAAACCTGCATTTTTAATCATGCTGTTGTCTCCAAGAGAGCCTCTTTGGGCTTGCTAAGCCTCATTAAGACCTAAGAAACCTCAGACTCTGAGCATTTAGAAGTCATCAGACAAATATGCTTTTAAGTAGAACTCTTGGCTAGGTTGTATTTTAAGAGAGTGAAGCCAGGGGATGGGTCAGCTGGGGAACTGCTGACAGACAAAGCTGCAGAGGATTTCACCTGCCAGCCTGTGAATGACATGGAGAGAAAATACTCGTGTGCCCAGAATTAGGCACTGGAAGGCAGGAGCTGTGTGGCACCTGAGCTAGAACTGGCTTCCCCCATTGTGAGAATTAGATAGTCTCTTATGCTGACCCAGCACATGACCCAGTGTGAGCCACCACGCCCAGCCAGTACTTTCAATAATAATAATAATGGCTACCATTTACCATTTAACAAGTACTAGTTTTATTTTATGAAAGAGTAAACTGAGGCTTAGAGGTTGAATAACTTGCCCAAAGTTACACAACTAGTAAGTTTAGAATTCATCTGCCTCTAAAGCCTGTGTTCTCTGTACTACCCTGTTCTGCCTCCAAGAGATATGGTCCCATAGTATAGTCTGAAAAACTGCATTTGTCAATTATCTCATGATTTTTAAGATTTGTTTAAAAGAAAGTCTAGAAAATGAATTATAATTTCAATTTAAGCAAATGTTTTTAAAACATAGGGCCTATGGTTAGTTAGAATGAGTAGAAAATAAGAAAAGGGAATTCTTGGTGATAAAGATTGGGAACTATGATCTTTTTAATACCCTTATTTTATAGATGAGAAAATCAGGGCCCAAGGAAAGAAACTGAGCTGCCCAAGCACCCAATACAAGTCACTGACAGAGCCAGGACTAGGACTCAGGGGTCCTCACGCCCAGCCAGCATGCTGTTGCCAGTTCACTTTCCTTAGCTGACAATTTTCCTAGTCTTACTCCCAACAGACTGCTCAGAACTGAAGGCAGGAGTAGGCAGAATATGTTTTTTAGGTTTGGCTCCAATTGTTTGGCAGATGGCAGGCTCACTTAATTGGCTAGGACATGCAGTTCCACTTTAACCTACAGCCTTCAGCCTTCCTCCTCCACCTCTTCTTGGAGGTGGGCCACCCTGGGCCAGGTGCCACCCTCCCACACACACACCCACTCATGAGCAAGGCAGTTGGCTACAAAGTGAAGAGCAAGGCCATCGGCCCTCGGCAAACTCTCAGGTCAAGATGACTTCTGAGAGCACCGCTTCTAGCTTGTCTCTCAGATACTCAACTCAAAGTCAGACTCAGCTTAATGTCATACCTGACCTCATGAGATTTCAGGCAGGCTGGCAGAGAGGGCTTACTAGGACCTATATTTTGGCTAAATGGAAAGGAGTCAGGCAAACAGAGTTTAGTCAAAGAGGTTCAGCTAAGGTAAGGAGAAGCAGAGACAAACAGACAAAGACCAAGCATAGGAGGTCAGGAATACACTTAGAATCCTAAGCCAAAGTTTGGGCTTCTAAGGGTCTCAGCGAGAAGCCACAGACAGAAAGCAGCACAGGTATAGCAAAAATGGAGTTTGCCTAAGAGCATTTTCCCTAAGAGTCTGGTGGGGGACTGGATCTATCTTTGACAACTGAAAATATCTTAGCTGGCAACCAAACAGACAGTTCTCTGGCATAAGCTTTTCCCCGAGTCCTCAAGCCCCTGCTTCTTTAAGAAAAACACATGGATAAACAAAGAAGAAGAGTCCAGGTAAGCCCCCATGATCCCATTAATACTGTGAGACCAAATGTGACCTTGTATACATCACAGAAATATTGTGAGGCCCCAGGATATAATGCCTTATTTATAGTTGGCCCTATAGGTTTCTGTAAGGTTCCATTTAGCTGATCCAGTGTTTCATGCACAATACACTCTTTTATTATATCCTTTACAATCTATTAATAGAGCCATTAGCCCGCGACCCCCTGCATTGTTCTTTACAAAATATTCTTCAATACTCCCACCTGTTTATTCTTCCAGAAAGATTTTAGAATAATTATATTAAGTTCTAAGAAAAAGTCCTCTTGGGATTTTGAGATGGTTTTAAATCTAAACTTTAATTTGCACAGAAAATTGACATCATCATAATAGTTCATCTACCCACTGAAGGGAGAAGAGGCAGAGACATCTCCATTTTTTCAAGTTTTCAATTTTCAGGAAATGTGTTATAGCCTCAGGTATCTAAACCTGAGGCACTCCCGAGTTGAGGGAACATCTGCTCTTTCAGGGAAGCTGTATTCTTATTCTGATTCCTGAAAGGTGTGGGACAAGGAAGGACAAGTTCTGTAACAGCCTTGGGCCACCTGTGCTCTTTCCCCAGTGCTCTGGTGCTACTGATTGCTCAAGAGAAGGAAAGGAATATATTTGACCAGCGTGCCATAGAGAATGAGCTACTGGGCAAGTAAGTAAAGGAAGAGGGACCTCCAGGTGTGGCCCCAGGATTGGAGAGGGTCGCTCAGTACATAGCATCTACTCCCTCTACCCATCTTTCCCAGGAACATCCACGTGATCCGGCGAAGATTTGAAGATATCTCTGAAAAGGGGTGTCTAGACCAAGACCGAAGGCTGTTTGTGTAAGAAGCATTCCCAAGGACCCAATAGAAGGCTGGTTTATGAAACTCATCCTGCCACCCTCTTCCCCCAAAGGATCCTTTCTTCTGGGAGATGTGATGATTGCTTCCTTTTCGTATTTCTGAAATATCTCATCCTCTCAGGAAATTTTGGAGAAGGCCAGCCAAGCTCTGCTTCTAAAGGATTTTATCAGAGTTGTTGACATGCTAGATAAGGGCCACCTTAAAGATGACCTTGGTTTTCATATGCCCCTAAGCTCCCAAAAGTTTTCTTGCCCCTCTTAGTGGCAGGCAAAGTCAGGCCTGAGCAGTTGAGCTGAGCAGTAAGAGAGGAAGAGGGGCAGCTGGCTCATTCTGTGATTGATCTGGATGCTACTCTCTTAGCTCAGGCCTGGATTTGTGTTCCAAGCCAGGGCCTCTCCTTCCCTCTAGGGGCTACCACCAGGTAGCTTGAAGTGCCACATGTTTGGGTAGCATTGTAGCACACATATTTAGACCTAGAACTTTGTGATTATTAAAATTAAGACCCTCCATTGAATTTCACAATACCACTTATTATTTTTCAAAATGTGCTTTTATCACAAGAAAACAAAGTAGTTAATTTACTTTCTAAATAAACCAGGTAATAATAGGTCAAAGAAAATGGGAAGAAATTTAAAAAGACAGTCTGTGTCTTAACTAGACTCATAATTTTGCATCTCCTTTGCAATTTCTACCTTCACCTTTTGTTATTTTAAAAAATCATAACCAGGTTTCAACTACTTTAAGCAGTGGAAATACAAGTGTGTTTTGCTAAGCATGGCAATGTGATTCTGTTGCTCAGTAATTTCAAGCCCACATTTTTTTTAATTTACCTAATTTGATTCTGGTTACCTTCTTGTTTCCCATCTGGCCTTCCTGAGTGACTCTACATCTGGAATATTCTTAGGTATTCCTTAGTGCACACCTCTGTGTTTTCAGTGGAAGCATTGGTAGTGGGGTATCTACTTTCACTGGTTCCAGTGAACCCCTGATCAGGCTCCTCCTGTGGACTGAATTTCAAAAACGCCAAATTCATTTTGATGTACCCTGAAATAGATTAAACCAATGAACATATATAATTTATAATTTAACACAGCAGCTTTCTCCATCCTGTGTTCTAGGGAGGGCCAGGAAGTTGCTGTGGTTTACTTCCGGGATGGCTACATGCCGAGTCAGTACAGTCTACAGGTTGGTATTTTCTGTTAGAGCATTCTTTGCCTCCTGGGACCCACCAGAACTCCACAGAGACCCAGCTCAGGCGTCACAACAACCTGGGTTTTTCTCTTGAGTCCTAGCTTCAGTTCTTCCTCAGGGAACTTGCTGCTGGAACCTCCTATCCTCCTGTAAGCTTTTTGCTACCTCTCACTCTATAAACACATTGTCTTCAAGAATCTGAATCCTTTGAGATTGGACAAGAAGATACTGGTTAAAACAAGTCCTTTATAAGGTCTTGTTCTTGTGGCAAACAGCTGAAAGTTTGGTTTGCGTTTGTGTTCATGAATACACAATGAAAAAGACCCTACATGCTGCATTATTTCGCTATAAAGAGTACTTAGGTATTCCTGAAGACAAGCTCTCTAGGTTGATGAACATTTAGAATGAAAACAAGAACCCCTCATTGGTGAACGTTAAGAATAAATAGTGTTCAAAACTGGCAAATTGATTATGCAACCTAAAAAAAAAAAAAAAAAAAGAATCTGAATCCTTAGAACCCACAGTGCTTCAGCCACTCACACTATTTCCAGAGATATGCTGGTAAATATTTAACCATTTTTCTAAGGGTAAAGAGCCCTCACTTGTAGCACTTGCTGATTTCTATAGTGTAAATACTCCTACCTTGCCAATTTCGAGCTACCTCTCTTAATGTCTCTGAACATAGAGTTGTGAAGAGATGGATACAATCAGCCTTGCTAGTTGATGCAACCAATTCCCACATACTGCTGACCGTTTTCTTTCTGCCAACTCTTACCTCTTTTTTATCTGAATCAGAAAGTTTTTTTCATCTGCTCATTCATGTTAATGAGTCATATCATCTCATCTTGCTATCCTACCATATAGTTTCAAACTTACTTTCCTCATCCAATATTTCATTTAACCCTTACAACCACCCTGTAAGACATATAATTATCCCCATTATACAGATGGAGAAACTAAGGTTTGGAGAGATGTGAGGCTTGTCTAAGGCCTCACAGGAAGTTCCCAGGCTTTCTGACTCTCAGGCTGATGGTATTCCCAGTATGCCCTTCTTCTCCCCTGCTCCTAATATCCACACCATGGAGAGGCTAAGCTCTGCTTTCAGTTGGGAGAAGGTAAAGGAGGAAATAAGTTAGGAAATACCATGGGCAGTGAGCTTGGGGTCATGAACCTGACTTTGCCTCTGTGTGACCATAGGCAGGTTCCTGACCCTATCTGGGTCTGAGGGAGGAACTGAGGGAGCTCCTTCCAAGTCCGTAATTCATCTAGGATTCCCCCTAGCATTGAGCTTTATAGGAGGAGCTCTACAGAGGTCACAGTTCTATAGAATGCCCTTTCCTCTATAGCAGTGGTGGGAACTTGTTGACTAGAGAAGAAGAAACTGTCTATTGGGAAAATGAATCCAGATTTCAAGACAGGACAAAGAAAACTTAAAGGGAGAATAGGCTGAGCTAACAAGGAAGGAAAGTAGCGTATAAGGAGGTAGACATTTTCAGGGAACTGAGAAGTTCAGACCAGGTTTAGACGTGGAGACAGATCTGCAAGGCTTAGTGACTTGCTAGGTGACCCTGGAAAAGTCCCTGCTCATCTTTGGGTTTTACTTTCCCTGCTTCTAATATAATGCGGTACCTCCCTGGGTTTATCTTTGATATTCTGGGCACCTGTGACCCTGCCTGGAACACCAGACTAGTAGCCACTGGTAGGTGGCTGGGATTATTGGTGAAGATCAGGAAAAGGTTCTGCAGATGGACTGATTGTATTAAAGGACAGCATTGGGTAGGTGGGTTGCTCCTCAGGCCATAGACTTGATCTTGCTGTGGGTAGTTTGCTATGATCTGGAGCCAAGAACAGACTGTCTCCCTATTGCCTGAGAATGGGAACCATAGCTGTGAGGCATGATCCTCTGTTGTTTCCCTGCTTCTTATACCCTCAGCTCCTGGCACAACAGGATCCTGTGATCACCTACATGCAGTCCTTTGCTCTTATTATATTAGCCTGAGTGCCCCTTCTCCACTGCATCTCCCCTGTCAAACTCTACCTGTCCTTTAGGACCCCACTCAAATTTCACCTCATTCAGCAATAATAACAAATATTTTGTGTTAGACACTGAGGATGCAACAGACGAAAAGGCAAACAACAGGAGTCCTATCCTTATGGAGCTCACAGTCTGGTCATGGATATGGGAATCAGAAAGTAAACAAAAATAGAAAAGTGTTTTTTGGGGGGCGGTTGTTTTGTTTTTAGTTTTGGGTAACTACTTTGAATGAAACAACAGGGTAATAAGAGAATTATGGGAAACCCATGTTAAATAGAGTGGTTAAGGAAGGCTTCTCTGAAAAGGTGACTTTGAGCTAAGACTTAAGGATCAGAAGGATCCAACTATGCATGGAAAAAGCCAAAAGGAAGGGAATTTCAGGCTGAGGGAAAAGCAATAAAGGCCCAAGGAGGGAATGAGGTTTGTGATTTGAGGAATGATAGGTGTGTGGCTAGAATGTGGGAGTGGTGGGGGGGGGGTGGGTAGCATTGTGCAAGGTTCAAAAAGTGGACAAGACCCAGATCCTGCAGGGTCTTGTAAGCTGTGGTAAGGAGTTAGGATTTTATTTGGAATGCAGTAGGAAGCTGAGCTCATAAACAAACATACTCATCAATTTTTCTATACCCTTACACCTTTTATCATTTTCCCTTTTAGTTATAGTTATGTATCATTGTGCTAGACTGTGAGACCCCCAAAGGTAAGAATCCAAGAGATTGGGAGAGGTGACACCTGCCTCACAAGGATGTTGCAGTGATCCTGGGTGATAATGAATGTGAAGATATAGCCCGGGCGCGTTGGCTCACGCTTGTAATCCTAGCACTCTGGGAGGCCGAGGCGGGCGGATTGTTTGAGCTCAGGAGTTCGAGACCAGCCTGAGCAAGAGCGAGACCCTGTCTCTACCAACTAAAAATATATAGAAAAAATTAGCCGGGCATGGTGGCGCGTGCCTGTAGTCCCAGCTACCCGGGAGGCTGAGGCAGGAGGATCGCTTGAGCCCAGGAGTTTGAGGTTGCTGTGAGCTAGGCCGACGCCACGGCACTCTAGCCTGGGCAACAGAGACTCTGTCTCAAAAAAAAAAAAAAAAAAAAAAAGATATAAAGCATGGTACCTGGTACCTGATGGATGTTCGGTAAAGGTCAACTGAAGTGAAATAAAGTAGAATTCCTTTTGCCTTCTTCCCTCCACAGAACTGGGAAGCACGCCTGCTGCTAGAGAGGTCACGTGCTGTCAAGTGCCCAGACATTGCCACTCAGCTGGCTGGGACGAAGAAGGTGCAGCAGGAGCTGAGCAGGGTGGGCATGCTGGAGGTGTTGCTCCCTGGCCAGCCTGAGGCTGTGGCCCGCCTCCGTGCCACCTTTGCTGGCCTCTACTCCCTGGACATGGTATGTGGGCAGCTCATTTCTCCTACCACAGGCCTCCTAAGTGGCAGAGACCTGGAGCCCAATGCGTTGGGGAGGCTAGAGCTAGCACTGTGGCTGGCATTTGTGACTTGGGTTGGTTTTGCTCTAGAGAACCCCTAGAGCCCTGGGGAGAGGGGCAGCCTCATGATGGGAGGAATCTATTATAAGCTTCCTCAGCAAAGGTAAAGATGAAGATGGCAACCAGAGGAAGGGACTAAGGCAGACAGAAAGAATTGAAGAATGTCTGTACCCACTTTAAAGGCCACCTGCTGCAAAGGCCTGAGCAGTTGCCAGAGAAAGGCCTGTTCTCATTGCATTTGCTGCTGCAGGGGGTTTGCTGGGAGTCACATACAGATAGTGGCATCAGCCTAAAGGAACTTACAGCTGTTCCCCTTCCTGTTCTTCCTCTGATGCTGCTCTGCACAACCAACAGGACCTCAATCCTTGCCTCTTTAGCCTTAAAACTGCTGGTAACTGCTTTCTGCCTCCTGCCAGGGTGAAGAAGGGGACCAGGCCATCACTGAGGCCCTTGCTGCCCCTAGCCACTTTGTGCTAAAGCCCCAGAGAGAGGGTGGAGGTAGGTGGATCTCCCTCTGCAGGGCTGCTCAATGAAAAGGGCTAATAGGCTATCACCAGTGCTCACCACCATTTTCTATGGGCACAGTCCCAGGCATGGGAGTACTAGGGGAACTGGTACAGGTCCCACCTTGGACAGCATCCCCCGAGACTGTGACCAAGTGCTGTGGAGCACAGAGAAATCTGATTAACCAGCAATGAAGGGTTTGGACAAGTTTAGTCTGAGGTGCTTGTGGGTAAATTGTGGGGAAGCAGGGTGGGGGCATATCAGGAGGTTGGAGAGAATATGTATCTGTCTTTCTGCCTAGTTTGAAACTCCTTGAGGGCAGGGATTATGTCTGCTTCACAGACTCAGAGGAGATGATTTTTTAACTTGGACTTAAGGGGTGTGTAGGAGTTTTCCAGGTAGAAAAGGGGAAGAGCATTCCATACAGAAGGAACAACCTCAAGCAAAGGCACTGGGCTATGAAAGCATGGTATGTTTGGAGATTAATGAAAAACTGGTGAGGCTAGAGGGGGAGATGGCAGGAGGCAGAGATTTGGGCTGGAGAAGATAGTCTGGGACCTGATTAAAAAGGGCATTGAATGTACGTTAAAAAATTGAATTTTATCCTTAGAGTAGTGGGAAGCCATTAGAGAGTTTTAAGCAGGGAAGGGACACGATTCATCCAGAATTCAAGTTGTTAGCAGTGGTAAGAACTTGTAAAACTTACAGTGTTTCAGTCATTGTAGAAGATGTCCTGGAATGAAGGGAGACATTGGTGGCAGAAAGACCATGGAGGAGGCTGGCATAGTCGTCCAGAAGAGCAATGTAGAGGCCTGGTCTAGGGCTATACATTTGGAGCACAGACTAGAGAGACATGTCCAAGCTAATGCCAGAGGTGATGGAGAGGGAGGAGTTAAATATGATTCAAGGATGCCTTTCACCTGATTGAGAGTAGGAAGGTCCAGGAGGGGCAGGTTCAGGCAGAAGTAATAAGTTTTGTTTGGACACGCTGAGTTTGTTTGGGGGGCCCATGGGACATTCATGTGATATCGAGAGCAGGGAGTATAAGTTAAAGATTTGGGAGCTAATAATTTATAGAGTATAGATAGAGCCTTGAGAATGGAAGAGATCTCCCTGACAAAAGATACATGGAGGAGAGAGCAAGGGTGGAGGACCAATTCCCAGGAAACCCCAACATTTAAGAGGAGAAGGAGCCAGTACTAGAGGCTGAGTAGGAATAGCTATAGACAAATAGGAGGAGAACCAGGGCAGGACAGTGTGGTGGAAGATGTGTTCACTTGCATGAATAAGGGCTCTCCTGTCAAGGTGACCTTCCCTCCTTAGGAGTCAGTTGTGCCCTGGGCTTCACCGAGCTGGTTTCAGGAACTGAGGCTGCTGACTCGCCCACATGGCCCCAGAAGTGAGGGCATGGGGTAGAGGAGGTGAGCAGAGGGTCCAGGGTGACTGGCCAGTTTAATTGCAGGCAACAACCTGTATGGAGAGAATATGGTACAGGCCCTGGAGCAGCTAAAGGAGAGTGAGGAGAGAGCCTCCTACATCCTCATGGAGAAGATCGAACCTGAGCCTTTTGGGAATTGCCTGCTACGGCCTGGTAGCCCTGCCCGAGTGGTCCAGTGCATCTCAGAGCTGGGCATCTTTGGGGTCTATGTCAGGTGAGCCAGTCAGGAGGAGCTCCTGCCACTACCTCCCTGTAAGAGTGCCAGCCAAGGAAGCCTAGAGGGAACACTGGACAGAATCTGGAATCCTGGGCTTTAGTCTCAGCTCTGCCAATCCCTAGGTTTGTTACCTGTTCTCTTACAATTAAATGAAGTCAAGGACCTAAGACCTGCCCACCTCACAGGGCTATCAAATGAAGCCCAGATGAGAAGTGCTTTGGAACTACAAAGGAAATTTCAGGTAGTATCAAGAGGACTAAAAAAAATATGGCCTGACAATCCAGGACTAGAAAGAGTCAAGGGAGGAAGGGAGACTCTAAAATCCTAGCAGTTTCTTGGATGTAGTCAGTTACCCATGTACTGCTTGGCTGGGACCAGGGAAGGTCCTGGGTTTGGGCTGAGTCCAGGTGATGTTGTCTGTCTCCTGCCCACATTTCTATAGGCAGGGAAAGACACTTGTGATGAACAAGCACGTGGGGCATCTACTTCGAACCAAAGCCATAGAGCATGCAGATGGTGGTGTGGCAGCAGGAGTGGCAGTCCTGGACAACCCATACCCTGTGTGAAGGCACAACCAGGCCGGCTCGGACTTCGCTGAAGAGACCTCCTATGCCCTGTACTTGTCATTCCTCTCCTATCCCTCTCGAGGGGCTGCCCTCATGGAAGGGTAAATGCTGAAACCTTCCCCTAGCTTTCCATCTGAGGACAAGAAAAGCTCTATTTCCCTTAGAAGAGATCTAGAGGCCCCCAAATCCTTGGGATGTGGGTACAGCTGAAGGGAAGCTGCTCTCAGGTTAAAGGTCCATAAACCCTGCTTCACTCCTGTCAGCCTCTCATCAGCCTTTTCAGCGAGTTCCAGTGCCTGACTTGGGATAGGACCAAGTGGTGGGAGGAGAGGGAGTGGAGGGGCATAGCCTTTCCCCAACTCTGCTTTAAATAAAACTGCATTGCTGATTCAGTGATTCCTTGCTTTGTGCATAGAGGGGAGGAGGGAGCTATAATCTTGGTCAGCCCACTTAAGGTGGATTGAAGCAGAGGAAGTGACTGGGCTATATAATAAGGGTCTTCCTAGACCCAGATCCTATGGGTGGGACCCTGAAGTTCCAATCTTTAGTCATTCATTAATGTACCCCCAGGATCATGAGGAAGAGAGGGGTTTCCTGGCAGGAGCCCAGGAGGGAAGACAGCCATGACCAGACATGACAGTTGTGAACTGGCTTTAATCACTTTCCTACTTAGCTTAGGGACTTGTGAAAGGGCCTGAGTGAAGCCCCAAAAGTTCTGGAAGAAAGATATTGGGGTAGTCTAGGGAATACCACTCCCCTTCCCATCTGCCACACAAATCAGAGCAGCTAATGAGTATACAGCCTTACTATACAGATACCTAAAAAAACAAGTCACCACCTTCTTGAGGTCACAGACTTTATTCCTACAACCACAGGGCTTGAGAATCACTAGGGCAAGAAAAGAGTTTCATCTGAGAGTGTCTCTCATGGGCAGAGCTCTGTTCAGGAGAGGGTAGGAACAGAGTACAAGGAATACAAGCTCCACTGGCTCTAGGAAAAAACATATCTACTCCTTCAAAGAAAAAGATGATCTGAAAACCCTCTAGAGACTGAACCTGTCCATACAGCTCCTGGCAGACAATACTGCCATCTGACACAAAAGGGAATTCAGACCCTGAACAGAAGCAGCAAAATATTTTAAAAATAATAAATTGTTCCTGAACTCAAACCATCGTGTCTAAGGGCAAGTGCATGCCCAGTGTAAGTACTGGTGCTTCCTGAGAGAGCCGACATAAGATTACACAACTGTCTCCCTGCTTCAGTCTAGGCCCTCACATACCCTCTGGACACTTAACTTGGGTTGAGAGGTAGCCTTTACATCCCTGTTCTGGGCTGTGAGAACTCTTTGCAGTCTAGGGGCACAGCAGTCTGAGGCTGACCTAGGCCCTGTCCCTTCTGACTGGCAGTCGAAGAAAGTTGTCTCCATACAGGGACAAACCTGGTTTCCAGTTCCAGACAGCTGGTCAAGGGAGGTGTAATGTGGGTCAGCCCTGGCCCTCAGCACTTCTGGGGCAGGGGAGAGAGGACAGGCAAAACTTTGGAGAGCCAAGCAGGGGGAATCCTGGGTAAAGGACAGGATCTTGTTCACTGTGTGGTCAGGCAGCGGTGGCTGAAGAGGTGATTGATGACAGATGGGTCTGCCACTGTAGACGTGTCCCCCAGGTCATGGTCATTGTGAGCAATCTTCCGAAGCACTCGCCTCATGATTTTTCCTGGAGGACCATAGGCCTCTGGTTACTTGGTAACAGCACTGACCCACACCAGCCCTGCCAAAGGCCTTCATCCACACACACCCTGCCACCACCAGGCCTTGGCCCATTCCAATCCCTGGAGGTCTCTGAACATACCTGAGCGGGTTTTAGGCAAGCCAGGTGCATTCTGGATGTAGTCTGGTGTGGCAATGGGGCCAATCTTTTCTCTAACTGTAACCAACAAATCATTAAACTTTTCTTCAGCATCCTTAGCCAGACTTCCAAAAACCAAGATAAAGATGGCTCTGTTCCTCACCTGTTTCCTTTTCAAGGCCCTGCCCACAGGGTCATTCTCAGGTTCACTGTCCTTCTCTCTCTCTCTCCCTCCCTCCCTCCCTCCCTCTCTCTCTCTCTCCCTCCCTCTCTCTCTCTCTCTCTCTCTCTTTCTCTCCTCCTCCTCCTCCTCCCCCTCCTCCCCACCCCTCCTCAACACAATGTCTCTTTACTCTCTCATTTTATCTTTACCCACCTTCATGGAACTCAGGCTCTAGAACCAGCCTGCTAGTTTAAATCCCAACTTTCTAGTGGTATGGCCATGGGCAAGTGATTTAACTCCTCTGAGTCTCAGTTTCTTCATCTTTAGAATGAGCATAACAATAAGATTTGTTTCATAGGAATCAATGTAGGGATTAAATGGACTAATGCATTTAAAGTACTTAGCCTGATGGTGGCACAAAGGAGACTAAGTGGGAAGAGGGCAAGCAGCCTGTGAGGCCCCCTGGGAGGGGCAGCTTGCTCCAGCCCCTCCCCAACAACTTGCAGTGGGCCTCCAAGACAGACTCCGTAGTCCCTGCCCAGGGAGGCTCCTCACTCTGCTTCTTGAGCTCCTCGGTGAGGGTAGGGCTGAAGGTGTGGCCATCACATAGGGTGACGAAGCAGTAGAGGCATTCTCCCTTCACAGGATGAGGGTGGCCCACCACAGCTGCCTCTGCAACAGCCTCATGTTCCACAAGTGCTGATTCCACCTCTGCTGTACTCAGCAGGTGTCCTTGACAAGGGAAAGGAAGTGCCATGAGAGAGATCCCAGCCTCCTCCCCCAGCCCTTGCTCCACCTATTCCCATGAGGCAGTCTTGGTCTGGTCAAATGGAGAAGGCCCTTCATTCATTCCTCATATATCATGCTTCCAGTTACCCCACCGTCCCAGCTCCCCTCCTCTAGGCACATTCCAGTGTTCATCACTATTCCTCCAAAACTGAATGCCATATTTCATATATGGTCTGGCCAAAAGACACTCCTGGCTCTCTCAGAAGGCTTTGGCTGGGGGTTTCCAGGAGAACAGAGCTAATGAGATGGGAAGGTGGTCCCTGGCCCTCACCAGATACATTGAGCATGTCATCAATCCTGCCAGTGATCCAGTAATAGCCATCCTGGTCCCGCCGGCAGCCTGGGAAGAAATGTACAACATAATAAATACCCCGCAGTAGGATACCTGATCCATATTTCCAAACTGCCACACGCACTGCTATAACCTTCTAACAAGTCTTCCTGCTTCCATTCTTGCCCACTGATCATTTTGGAGCCAACCTCCAAAATGACCCCATTGATCTCTGCCTCTTGGTATTCATAGACCTGCACAGTCTTCTCATTGTACTGGGGTTTGTCTGTGTGATCAACAGAATTTGGCAGAAGTGATGGGATGTCACTTCTGAGACTAGGTTATAGAAGACACTGTAGCTTCTGTCTTGGCTGCATGCTCTCAGATCATTTGCTTGGGTAAGCCAGCTGCCATGTTGTGAGAGGTCCCTGTGGTGAGGAACTGAGGATTCCTGCCAACAGCCACAAGAGTGAGCATGGAAGTAGGTCCTCTAGGATCAGTCAAATCTTCAGGGGACTGCAGCCCCTACCAACAGCTTGACTGCAACCCTAAATGAGAACCACCTGGCAAAACTGCTCACAGATTTCTAATACTCAAAAATGGTGTGAAATAATGTATTTGTTGTTTTAAGCTGCCAACTTTTGGGGCAATTTGTTCTATGGCAATAGATAACTAATGTACCTACGTAAAGTCTATTCTCCATAAATCAGGTAAAGTTATTTTCTAAACAGTAAATCAGTTCTTACCATTCCCCTCCTTAAAACTTCTAAAGGTCTCCCACTGTACTTTGAATAAAATCCACACTCCTGACCATGGCCATGATATATTACCTACCTCTCCAGCTTCATATAATATTCCCTTTGCTTGCTACACTCCAGCTACACAGGCTCAGTCCATTTCTTGGACATTTCAAGTTTGTGTTCCTCTACACAGAACACTCTTACTCTAGATTTCCCCATGCCTGGTTCCTTTTCACCCTTCAGGTCTCTGCTCAAATGTCACTTCAGAGAAGCCTTCTCTGACCATCCCATGAATAGCAGACATCCCAGTAGGCACTCTTTATCACATTAGCCTGTTTATTTTTCTTCATAGTGCTTATCTCTGTCAAACATAGGCTTATTTACTTGTTTGCTGGGTTTATTATCTATCTCCCCTTACTAGACTATAAGCCCCATGAGAACAGAGATTTTCACTAAATTATTCATGGTAATATCTCCTGTGCTTAGATCTGCGCCTGGGCACAGTAGGTACTCAAATATTATGGATGAATGGATTGGTGGATGGACAGATAAACAAACAGGCTGCAAACATGGGACACATGACATAATAATACATAGTGCCACATGCCCCATCTCTTTAAACACAGGAGCAAGAAAGAGGGAGAACCTCTTTCCTCATACATCAAATCTCAGATGGCACCATGCTGAGACCCTTCCTGCAATACTCATTCCTGCTTTTACAGTCTTCTCTGTAGCTCTGCCTGGATACCAGACACTGATATGTAGGACACATTCTTCTCTGGTCTTCACCCCTAACCAGCTCTTCCTGAAAATGGAAGAGAAAGGTACATGTCTTAGTAGGAGATGCGGGAAGGGGATAGCCAAGGCTCACCATCTCCCGTCACATAGTACCCAGGGAACTTCTTAAAGTAGGTGGTCTCAAAGCGTTCGTGGTTCCCATAGACTGTACGCATGATCCCTGGCCAGGGCTGCTTGAACACCTGGGGGGTGAAGAAGGCACAGTGATCACATCAGCTATGCTGCCTCACTGGAAGACAATCACAGCTTTGCTAAACCTGAGGGAAAGTATCCTGAATGCCATTCCTGAGATGTAGGACAAAGTGCAGCATTAGAGATAGATGATCCTGGCTTGGAATCCCAACTCTACCACTTATTAGCTAGGTGACCTCAGGGAAGCAATTCATCTCTCTGAGCTTCAGGATCCTTATCTGTAAATCAGAGAAAATAATTTCTATCTTCCAAAGTTATTGTGGGGATTAAATTAACAGTATATGGAAATTGCCTAGCACAGTGTTCTATTAGTGATAAGCATTTAGTAAATTTGAATCTCCTTTTGGCTAACACCTCAGAAAAGCAGGTCCAGTTTGATGCAAATGAAAATAGTCATATAAAAAAGTAGGACCCACACACAAGTAAATAATTATTGCTCAATCAGTAACATTCTGGGGCAGCAGATTGATGGGATGGATGGAATTCTAGGCTAAGAGTTAGAAGGCCTGGGCTGGGTGTGGTGGCTCACGCCTGTAATCCTAGCACTCTGGGAAGCCGAGGCAGGTGGATCTTTTGAGCTCAGGAGTTCGAGACCAACCTGAGCAAGAGTGAGACCCCGTCTCTACTAAAAATAGAAAGAAATTATCTGGACAACTAAAAATATATACAAAAAATTAGCCGGGCATGGTGGTGCACGCCTGTAGTCCCAGCTACTTGGGAGGCTGAGGCAGAAGGATTGCTTGAGCCCAAGAGTTTGAGGTTGCTGTGAGCTAAGCTGATGCCACAGCACTCTACTCAGGACAACAAAGTGAGACTCTATCTCAAAAAAAAAAAAAAGAGTTAGAAAGCCTGGATTTAAGTCCTGTCCCTGTTACTAATTTGCTCTTAGGAAAGTGAAATGGGGTGGGTGGTGGGGGTGGCTGGTGAGGTCCCCACAAGCACTAATATAACAATCACAACAGCCAATGTTTATCAATTACTATTAGGTTCTGTGCTAACTCCTTCACATGGATTATCTAATTTAATCCAGCAACCATAGGAGACAAAAGTATTATTGTATCCCTGTTTTACAAATGAGAAAATTTAGGTTCAGAGTGGTTAGGTAACTTATCTGAGGTCACAGAAGAGGCAGAGCCAGGATTTGAACCCAGGCAGGCTGTCTCCAGAGTCTATGTGATTTTCTACTATATTATGAAGACTCCTTTTTCCAAAATGTTTGTCAAGGGAAGAGTTGGTATTAAGTCTTCCAGCCCTAAAAAGGTACTATCAGGAATTGGAGCAGTTTCTAAAAAGGCCCTTAAAAGCCTCATATGAGGGCCAAAAGACAGAGATTCAGGCCAAGTATCAACAGTATCCAGAGGATTCCCCCCAGGGTCTCTCAATAGAGAACAAACCCCCAACCTTGAAGCTTCAGTCCTAAGCACCTACTAGGTGAGATTAGGTTATAAATGTGGAAGCCAAGTACCCTTGGTGGACCCTTTCCCCTCTGTAAAGACCGCCAAGGGCCAGGGCCTCACCAGATAACCTTCAGCTTCACCTTCCAACTCCTCCCCAGACTCATTCAGGATTGCAGGAGCTACACCAAAGAACGGGAAGGTCTGGAAGCAAACAGGAGACAAATCCAAGAAGAGGAATGAGGCAACACTGACTCAACTCCCAAGGAGCCCCAGAGCCCCAAATTCCTCACATATATATCAGTCTAGTCTCCCACTGTCTAACAAGGCCAAATGCCCCAAGATGCTACCCCTGCTTAGCCCAGGACCAGCCAGGAAAGCCTCACTCACAGCAGAACCAGGCTTCATGGGTGTGGCACCAGGGAGGGGAGTCAGCATGTGGCCACCCTATGGAAGTCGGAGATCAGAGATTTGAGTCAGTCTTCCCAGGTTGTCCCTGAGCCCCAGCCTTCTGAACCCCTCACTCACTGTCTCTGTTTGCCAGAAGGTATCCACGATGGGGCAGCGCTGGGCACCTACCACCCGGTGGTACCACAGCCAGGCTTCTGGGTTGATGGGTTCACCCACTGTGCCTAGTACCAGCAAAGATGCCCGGCTATACCTTGGGCAGGGGAATGGGAGAGAGGAAGTCTGTAAGTACCACTGGGAGCTGGGACATACATGCCCAGACTTTTCTCTTGCCCTCTCCCCTATTCAAGGGAGTTGGGACAATGGAAAGGAAAAGATTGTATACAAAGGCCAGCACCTGGCTCTGAGGCATACTCATGGGGCAGCAACTGGGAAGGGGTCTCACTTGGTGACAGGCTCATCTCCATACTTCATGAGCAGACGGATGGCTGTGGGTGCTGTGTAGAACTTGGTCACCTTGTATTTGTCCACAATGCTCCACAGGCGGCTCACATCCGGGTACGTGGGGATCCCCTCAAACTGACCCCAGTGAAAGTTGGTCATTCACAGTCCTTCCCAACAGTCCCTCCATTCCCCACCATTCCCTCAGGTTCAGTATCTTGACCTTTCTGACCAACTGTGTCTTCACTCCCTGACCAGATAAGCCAAGACACCTTCCTTGTCAGGATACACAACCCCCTAAGGACTTTTTTTTCTCCAGGAAACAGATCATTGTGTAAGTCCCCCTGCCTCTAGACCAAGTAGCCTTGGGAGATAGTCACCCAGGATAGTCTTGTCCATCCCCCAACTTGGCCAGGTGGCCATGGATCCCAGCTCCCTTCTCACCAAAACACTGGTGGCACCATTGGCCAGTGGCCCATAGGTGACGTAGGAATGGCCAGTGATCCAGCCAATGTCTGCTGTGCACCAGAACACATCCTCCGCGTGGAAGTCAAACACATACTTGAAGGTCGTGGCCACATAGAGCATGTAGCCCCCAGCTGTGTGAACCACACCCTGTGGGAAGAATGGGGCCTCAGGTTGAGGCCTTCAGCCCACTCCCACTGATCACCAAACAGAGGCTAGGCAGAGCTAGAGGAAGATCCTCCTCAGGGACTCTGGCCCTGCCAGCAGCTCCTTCATAGCATCCATCTCTCTTCCATCTCCTTTTCTCCATGCTCCCATCTCATCTTCTTTATCATACTCCTGATGTTACACATATATATCAGTCCATCATTCACACCTGAAACCTCAGATGACATTTTTCAGAGCCACCCACATCACTCTCACACACATGAACACTACTAGCACACTCACATCTAATAGTCTCTCTGTTATGTGTTTGTGCCCACACATTCAATTACACAATAGCGGAGTGAGTAGGGGGAAAAACACAATCCCCTTTTCTTACTCCATCCCTACCCCATCCCTAGGAAGGAGAGGCCAAAACTGTGTTTCTAAAGGCCCACTGAGGAATATTCCAAAGTATATCCAGAGAAGAACTTAGGGATGGGGTGGGTGGAAGGGAGAGTGACATAGCTTTCAAGTCAATGGAAGAGTCAGAGTTTTCTTAAGTGTTTTCAGCTCTCACACCATGACCTGAAAGAGGATTAGATGTGAATAGTATACCATGTGGAAGGAACTGAACTCTAAGAGTTCAGAAGCCAAACTTGGTCTTAGAAGCCCAAGAGAGATCCCTGTTGCCCACCCTTGACCTTGAGGTGACAGGATAGCTCTCCTTCAACCATGCCACATGGGCACGGGGAAGGAATATCCATGTCAGCCACATGAATTGATCCTTTCCCCCTTTCATGTCCAGACACGATCCACAGCTGGAGGTTCCTATCTAAGCTCTGCCCCTGTCTTTACATCACTGGCATCAATGGGGTTCCCCAGAGAGACTGGGCACCCTGAAAGCCCTCACCCTCAAACTGTCTTACTCTGGGCCTCACCACCTAATGATTGAGGATTTATGTCTTAATTTGATTTAGAAAAGGTAATGTTACATTTCTCAAACTCAGAGTTGTAGGAAAAAAATTCATAGCATTATGTGCTTCCTCAGAAACTCACTTTTCACCCCAATACACACACACACACACACACACACACACACACACACACACACACACTTGCCTTGGGTTTGCCTGTGGAGCCACTAGTGTACAGGATGAAGAGTGGGTCCTCGGCATCACACCACTCGGGCTCACACTCATCCCCTGCCTCTTGCATGAGTTCATGCCACCACAAGTCAACCCCTTGGTTCCATGGGATCTGTAGGGAGAGGAAGATGGGAATGCAAAAGGAAGAACTGTGAAACAGCTCAAGATGGGGGCAGAAAACACCTCTACCTGGTATCTGGAGGGACTAGGGTGGGACAGGTAGGTGGGAGTACAGGAAGGGAGGGAGAGCCCTGGGAAGGGGGAACAGGGTAGAGGGAACAGGAGGAGAACCCAGGCTTACTGGGTACTCCCATCATCCTTCCCACGAACTCCCCTCACCTGGCCTCAGACTGAGGAGGGCCCCTTGGTTAGTCCCTTCCCATCCTTCAGTTCTCAGGTGAAATGTCACCTTCTTGGAAAGGCTTTACCTGAACAGTATCTGATAGATTCCTAACCCCAACTCTGCTATTAATATTATTAATGATCACAGCACCATGTTTTTTCCCCACACAGCACATATTTCCAGTTATTTTATTTAGTTGTTTACTTGATTATTGTCTCTCCGACTAGGTAGTAACCTATATGAAGACAGTGGCATGTCTGTCTGTTGTTCCCCCACCCCCTCCACCATATCTCCAAAATCTAGCAAAGTGCCTGGCACTCAAAAGGTACTTGGTAAATTTTTTGTTGGATGAATGACAATGCACACACAGGTCTGCATACACACATATGTACTATGGGAGTAGTGGCTCATCAGTAGGGATGCAGAAACCACACAATTCAAAAATGCAAAATTAGTTAGAGCCTGCAGGTGAGGCGGGCACCTGACCCTGTTAGTTAGAAGTGAAAGAAGTCAACAGATCTTGGTCTAAGCACTTTTTCCTTCATGTCCAGACCCAATCCAGAGCTGGAGGTTCCTATCCGAGCTCTGTCCTGGTGTTTACACCACTGGTATCAATGGGGAATCCCAGAGAGACTTTTGCTTGAGGGTACAGGTTCTATTCAGCAGGAAGCCTTGCTTCAAGTTGATGGAGAAGGACCAAGGTGGACTTCTCCCAGTAGAGGGATGTCCCTCTATACCTGAGGGCCTTTAATAATTACTTCTGTCATCCTAAAATTTCTCTAAACTCTCCTTTGAAACTATTTTCCTTTCCTTTCCTAGCTATATCACCTCTTTGAATGCAAGTTTTTTGAGTCTACTCTCTGCTACGTGAAGTTAGATTCCCTGAATTTGTCCAAAAATTACATTGGATTTCAATCCTAGTTCTGCCATTTCCTAGCTATATGATCTTGGGCAAGTCACTTTACCTCAAGTCCCTCCTTTTAAAAATGAGGATAGTCATTCTTGCCCTAATGGTCTCAAAAGATTTTGTAAACATCAAAAGAGAAAAGTATTATCTAGTGAACATCAAGCCTTAGATTGCCCCAAGGGATGGAGGTTGGGGTGGGGTGGAGAAGACTGATGAAATGTCAGGAGGGACAGAAGTTAGTTCAGTGAGGATTGCAAGATAAATTTAAGAGCATGAATATGGGAAGTGTTTGGGGTTTGCTTTAGCTGTCACAAAGTCCTTTCATATTCATTATATTCCTGTATGTTCAATGGCCCTGGCTGGCAGGTAAACAAAGCATATAAGAGAAACATCCTGGCTGGGCGTGGTGGCTCATGCCTGTAATCCTAGCACTCTGGGAGGCTGAGGCGGGAGGATTGTTTGAGCTCAGGGGTTCGAGACCAGCCTGGGTAAGAGCGAGACCCCGTCTCTACTAAAAATAGAAAGAAATTAGCTGGACAGCTAAAAATATATAGAAAAAATTAGCCAGGCATGGTGGCGCATGCCTGTAGTCCCAGCTACTTGGGAGGCTGAGGCAGTAGGATCGCTTGAGCCCAGGAGT